CATGTGCATAAGTGTATAGGTAGAATTATAGTATTGTAGTATTGTAGTATTTCATTTGCCATCACCGACTCTAACTCCTTACTTTTATAAGTGGGGAAACTTAGGTTCCCAGAGGCTCAGAGCTTTGCCCAAAGTCACATAGCTAGTTAGTGGCAGGGCCAAATCTTAGAAGCCAGGTCTCCTGATCCAGTTTTGTCTCTACAACTTCTTATGTCACTTGAGCCCAGAAAACATTAAATGAGTTTTGGTGACACTGCTTCTTCTTTAAATGTAAGGAAAAGATAATTAAAGGGATATACTTAAAAGATAGTAAAACCTTTTATAAGATCTCTTTAGAAGTAACTTTTATGTATCAAGGTATAGATTTTTTTCAAACTTAGTAAAAGAAATTAATTAACTTATGTTACTTGTATATATAGTATTTGTCAATAATGTTTGGGCATACCATCTGTCTGCCATATTGCAGAGTTATAATATCCACTTTTGGTCTAAGCCAATTTAATTGAACATAATCCTAAATAAATTTTCTCAGATCTTAGATACTCAATATTAATTATATGCAAGCCTGTTTGCCCTAAGGGTAGTAAGACCTGAATGACAAAATAATAAAATAATGACTACAGGAACTTTTGTTTTGTGGGTAGAATAGGATAAGCTAGGGACTATCTGGTGTCCCTCACAATTTCTTGGTGTGTAGTGAGATAGTTGTATGTCTCTGAAATCCTTACTTGATGCTTGGAATTGAGCATGGAGAGAACTGAGGATCACTCTCACATGAAATGAGTTATTTTGGGCTTTGGCTAATTTTTTTTTTTTTTTTTTTTAAAGATTACAGACTCTGAAATCAGATTGGCTGGATTAGAACCTTGGTTCCACTACATTATCTACATAATTTGGGGTAAATTACTTAGCTTCTCTGTGCCTCAGGTTTTTCACCTTTAAAATAGGGATAAAAATCCCAAGTTGTTGTGAGGATTAAAATAGCTACTTCATGTGAAGTACTCATGTCTTCAAGTAAAGACATGCAGTAAATACACAATATATATTATTATTCTTTATATCTTGTCTTTGAAAAAATGATTTGTGATATATAATATATACATAAAATATCACAGTGAAATAGGCATAAGGGATTAAAAGTTATTGAAGAGGGAAGGGGAGGATGATTTTATCAGACACCTAAGCTCAGAACAGCTATGCTATAATTAAATATTCCTTGGATGGTCAAGTTGGCAGATGCTGATAATAATTTAGCTTTCAACTCATATATGTATATACATTCATATATATTCATATATACACACACACACACACACAAACAGAAGCAAAAAATTAGAACATTGAAGAATCAGAGGTATATTCCTCTATGAATTATATTCTTCTCTAAATGATACATTTATGGACCAAAATGGAGAATGAATTAATTAATTAATTTCCTTCAAAGAGATAACTTAGGTACGTGAAAGAAGAGAACCTATTTTCCCGATGCACTATAAAATGTTAACTTTAGTTACTAAGTGTAGCATTTGGGGCATAGCTGAAGTTTAAAGTGTTCTAAAACAACTAAGTTCAAACTTTCCTATTAAAAGACACACATATTCACAATCCATGAACTGCCCCAGACAAAAAGCTCTTGGGTGTTTATCTTCCATTCCTAATGTGATGTCAGAGAAGTCCTCACTTCCAAATAGTTTATTTCAAAGAATGGTGAACTTACTCATATCCAGACACATGAAGAATACAGATTATTATGATTCAACTATTATCCTCATGTCTCGACTGCTCCAACCTCTTCAGCCTCTGAAAAAGAACTGATGTGTGTCTCTTCCTATTTATCAACTACTTTATCCCTAATTGTCAACTATTTATACAGATGATGCTGAAAATTAACTTCAGTGTACTTTTCATCTGCTTTTAGCACATGGTGCTCAGTTCTCTCTTTCATGTAATGTTTTTTTGTTAATGTACCTATTTTTCTTGGGGTGGCACTGTGCTACATTGAGCGACGCCACGAAGCATGATTCTACAGAATACAATAGCTAAAATTGCAGCTGTCTGGAAGCCATGGAAAGTCCCCTGCTAAGCCTCTTAGGCCAGTGGGGCTAGGTAATGCAATCCTAGACTCAATATATCAATTTCTTTCTTGTATCCACTCCTGTGGATGAAGGCCACTGCCTAGAGCTTTAAAGTATTGTGGGTCATGATGGTCAAAGTTGTAAAAAGAAATTGATTAATTAATGTGTTTCATCTCACACCTCTTTTTAGTACCATAGGGAACTAAGGAATTGACCCATAGCAACTTGTCTGGGACTCAAGTAATGCCTCAGGAGGAATGAGAAGAAATGTCTGGATATTCTCTCTTAAAAACTCTTCCAACTCAACCTCAAGTTCTCTGTAATGAATTCATTTCCCCTCTACCAACATCCCTGTATCTGCTAGAGATACTGTTATTTCAGCCCCCACCCTCAACTCAAAATACCAAATGATTTAAAACTCATTCTTTTTCTTAACTGACAAATTTACTGTTACCAATTCCTAGAGGCATCTATCTCTTCCTTTTCCCACACCATCATCCTAGTGCAAGCCTTCCTTACCTCTCATCTCAGTTACTACAGCAATCACCGGGCTAGCCTCTCTGGCTCTATCTCTGTTTGCATCCTCCTCGCTCCTCCTTTTTGCTTAGTAAGAGTTAATAATATTTATTTTATTAACATATTTTTCCTTATTGAATACAAAGGAAACATTACAAACTCTAGTCACATAGTGCTAGGTATGAATCCAGTTGGAAGAAAGGACAGCTAATGCATCATTCCTATGAGGAAGGTATTGTTATCTAGGTTTTAAAGATGAGGAAACTGAGGCTCAGAGATGTGGCCAAAGTAGATGTGGCATAGAGACTGGAACTCAGGTCAGCCTCACTCCCAAGTCCACTGTGTTTATACCAACTCTCCCTCATTCAGGACATTGTTGTCAGATTAATTTGCATATTGTTATTAGTTTAATCTTCTCCACATATCAACTCCATCACTTTCTCATCTCAGTCAAAATCTTTCAATAGCTATTGTTTCCATGTCAAATCTAAACTCCTCTGCCTGGCTCTCAGGCCTCCTCCTAACTAGGTTCTACTTTCACTACTCAATCATGCTTCCCACTCTCCGGTCATTCCCATCAAATATATATATATTTATATGTTCTTCTTTTTTTTTGTGTGAGGAAGATCAGCCCTGACCTAACGTCCATGCTAATCCTCCTCTTTTTGCTGAGGAAGACCGGCTCTGAGCTAACATCTATTGCCAATCCTCCTCATTTTTTTCCCCAAAGCCCCAGTAGATAGTTGTATGTCATAGTTGCACATCCTTCTAGTTGCTGTATGTGGGACGCCGCCTCAGCATGGCGGGAGAAGCAGTGCCTCGGTGCGCGCCCGGGATCCGAACCCAGGCCGCCAGTAGCGGAGCGCGCACACTTAACCGCTAAGCCACGGGGCCGGCCCTATATTTACATGTTCTAATTCAAACATAAAACTTATTGAGGGCTCGGCACAATACTACCTTAGGTACTCAATAAATTTCTGTTGATGATAAAGCTTAGTTTGAGTCAGAGATCCTGTCTTAACTAAACTTTGAAAGTTATTTATGAGATAACTATGAGAATAATTTTAGATAACATTTCTGAGAAATGTGTGATGCTGCTTTCAGCTATCATTACAAATATTAGTTTAAAATTTAAAAACATATATAATAGGGAAAAACGTTTGACTCTGTCTACCAATATTTATTGAAGTCTCATAAAGTATTAAAATAATTATTCTCTTTCACTTTTACTTATACTCCCAAGCATAAAAACATTTGATCTCTAATCATGGTACTTGTCTTAAAAACTTGTTGCTTCCAGTTGCCTATACTTCTTATTTTTATGTACAAAGCTCTTTACATTCTGTTCCCAGACTACTTCTCAGGTCAAATATTTACCACTCCCTGCATTCCTGGCCACAGTGAACTTTTTAGCATTATTTCCACACTATGTGCAATGGACTGAATGTTTATGCCCCCCACCTGACCACACTAATTCAGATCGCCAACGTGACGGTATTATGAGGTGGCGCCTTTGGGAGGTGATCATGTCATGAGAGTCGAGCTCACATGAATGGGAGTAGTGCTCTTTATAAAAGAGAACCCGGAGTTCACTAGTCCCTTCTGCCATGTGAGGACAAGGGAGAAGACAAACATCTATGAACCAGGAGTGGGACCTCACCAGACACTGAATCTGCTGGTGCCTTGATCTTGACCTTCCCAGCCTTCAGAACTGTGAGAACCAAATGTCTGTCGTGTAAGCCACCCAGTCTATGGTATTTTTGTTACGGTACCTCAACAGACCAAGACACCATGTCAGCCCCTTTCTGAACTCTGTGACTTTACATATGCAATTCTAATGTTCTCAGTGTGTTTTTCTATCCCCCCAACTCTTTTTTTTTTTTTTTTTTTTGCCTAGTAAGCTCCTACTCATTTTTCAAGACCCAGTTTAAATGTCACCTCCTCTGAGAAGTCTTTAGGGGCTTTTTAAAGGCAAAGTTAATTGTTGCCATCTGTTGGATGACTACTTTCCCAAATAGATAGTGAGCCGCAGGACACAGGGATATTGTCTTTTTAATCTTTGTATTCCCAGCACCTGGCTCAGAGTAGGAGCTTAATGAATGTTGAATGAATGGAAGAATATCTTGATAGTCTGTCAGAAACAGAGTTGTCTTCTCAATTAAATACAGCCACTTACAATTTTCCTGTAGCCATAAAATAATAGATAATGAGCAACATTGTGGTTACCCTGACATTTTCAAGGCCTGCATAAGTATTTTTGGAATTAAATAAATATCTAAATGATCCATAACTGCTTAGAAATGACTTTTAAAATATCTTTCCTTGAGCATATCAAAATTCCTACATTTTATTTTTCTCTAGAGAGAATTGAACATTTAGAAAACAATGTATAAAGAAGAAGCAACTTACTTTATTTCGATCTTGTACAACCAATATTTTTCTAGTATTTTCATCAAATACAGCTCCTGTTGGGGGGAAAAATAAAAGGTAATTGAGAAATATTAATTTCATTCACCTTAGCCTCCTCCCACACTCTTATCTGTGGTCAAAATCCTACCCATCCTTGAAGGCCTAGTTCAAATACCACCTCACTCACGAAGACTTGCAAAATCTCTCCAGCAAGAAACCGGTTGCTCAGTTATGCAGGTTCTTTCAACAATTTAGAGTACCAATGATAGTTCCAGTATATACTAATTTATAGGACAATCATCTGCTTAAGCCTCTTCTCTAGATTGTTTATTCCTGATGGACACAGTAAAATAAATTAATGTCTATCCTCATATAGCATTTACTTTAGTGTCCAGACTAAGTGCTTAAAAATATTTATTGAATAAATAAATTGACTTTTCCATTCTCATTTCTATTCCTTGAACCTCTATGTATAGAACGTGGGTTGTGCCCCGTGATGATATAAATCTCAAGCACTTAAATTTCTTTACTACGTATGTACACAACTTTATAACATACCAATATATTGCTTTGGAATACTTCTTTATTTTATATATGTTTGAGTTCTAGTCCATTTCTTTTATCTATTCATTCATCATACATATTGCCCAGCACACTAGGCATTTTGCTAGATGTTAGGGACTCAAAAATGTTTTTTTTCTAATTTTTTTATTTCTCTTTGGGCAATCTTGGGTCAAAAATACAAACGATACTTTAATGATTTGTATTAGGTTCCATTAAATGTCAAAATTTAAAAATATTTGCATTTACATAATGTGGCAAGATATTGTTTAAAAAATATTTTCTGTATATTCATCTATTCTTTCAGTATTAGTTGAGTTCTTATATATAATACATATAGGTTCTAAATATAGTATATTAATTGAGCTCCTGTTGTTTGTCAGGAACTTTTCTAGGTACTAGGGATATAGTTGTGAACAAAACAAAATTTCCTGTCCTTATGGGGCTCACATTCTGGTGTGTGTGAGAAGGTGACAAATAAAAAATAAATGATATAGAACAAGAGAAGGTCATAAATGCTATGCAGAGATAAAATACAGAGGGGGATGGGTATGTGTAACACAAGGAAGAGTAATTTTCTCTGAAACGAAAACACCACATTTTAATATTTTAAAGCAAGAAGGAAAACCACTAAGAGATATAGTTAACAAGATAACATTAATGTTGGCTTCTTTTAGAAAATGTAAACTATAATTTAATTGGATGTTACAAGGGATAGAATGCCAAAGAAACGCCAAGGAAACCTATTTTTAAATTATAATAATTTGTGATTACTCAAATTGAACTTTTCCCTAATGAATTCACTATAAACATGAGCCAAATATTTATCCCAAAGACAAAACCAGCATTGATAAAGCGCAATGTAAGCGACCCCTGCTGGTCACAATGTAAAAGTTATGTAAATCCAAAGAGATTAAGGATTAAACAGAGGTTATTAACATATTATTATGATTAGTTAGGTACTTTGCTAAGTGCTTTATGTGCATTATCTTGGGTATTCCTCACAATAATCCTGTGAGCGGTATCATTTTCACTGCCCAAGTTCACACAGCTCTAAGACTGACAGCTGGTCGGCCTGAATTCTGAGAAGCATTCTTTTCACTGTGCAACATCGCCACTTTACCACACTACAGTTGCATTCTCAGAGGGCTGATGTTTCCACTTGAAGATCTGTCCAACCATTCATTCAAGAAATATTTGGCACCTACTTTATGCCCATTATCTTCAGCCTGGCGATGCAGTGAACAAGACAGATAAAATATCTGCCTTCATGGAGTTTTATTATTTCCCCCCCATATTATTGTGGGGGAAATTAATAACATGAAATAAAAGATAATTTCAGATTGTGATAAGTGCTATAAAGAAAAATAGAGCTGGATAAAGGGACAAAGGATGATGGGATTGGCATGCAGGAGGGCTCTATTTTAGATAGGAAGGTCAGGAGCTTTTCTGAGAAGGAGATATTTGAGAAGAAACCTCAGCTCTAAACAGCTGGATAAACAAAGCACTGGGGAAGAGCACTGCCAAAGAGGAGCCAGGAAGTTTAAAGGCTCTGAGGTAGACACAAGAATGCTATATTTGGGCCGGCCCCATGGCTTAGTGGTTAAGTGCACGCACTCTGCTGCTGGCGGCCCAGGTTTGGATCCCGGGTGCGCACCGAGGCACCACTTCTCCGGCCATGCTGAGGCCGCGTCCCACATACAGCAACTAGAAGGATGTGCAACTATGACATACAACTATCTACTGGGGCTTTGGGGGGGAAAAATAAATAAATAAAAAAAATAAATAAATAAAAGAATGCTATATTTGAAGAACAGTAAGAAAGCCATAGCTCACTCCATTCCAGTGTAGGGGAGGAAATATTTTTTTCCTCTACCCACTTAGGATCTGTGTCTGGGGCCTGTGAATTGAACTGACAGAAGACAGATTAATGGAGAAAAAGTATTAAATTTTATTTGATGTTAATATTTTTACATGGCCTGGGGTGGGGGTAAGGGGCTTCATAGAAAGAACTAAAAATCCCCAAAAAGCGGTTAGACCCAGGGGCTCATATACCATTTTAACAAAGAGTGATAAATTGTGAAGACATGATAAAACAAAAGAAAAAGGGCTTTGGGCCAGAGGAAGTAAATTGTGGGAAAGTGACTTAGAAATATACGGGGAAAACTAATGCATATAAGGGTTGTTTTAATAAGGTTTCTTTGTACAGACTCATCTCAGTGTCAACTCCTGTCTCCAGTGATAAGAATGTTCTCCTCTTCCTGGTACAAGAAATTTATGCCCTGCTTTTAGGTAGAAAGGGGGAGGCAGAGAGCCCTTCCTGCATCTGCTGTTTCTCAATTGTCTTCAGCTCAAAATAATCAATATGCTAAAGTGGCATAATTTGGGGTGGTATGTTCTGATCCCCTTCACTAGCCACACCTACCTTCTGTTGATTTTAACAACAAATGTTAACTATTTTCTCTTCATCTAAAAAACTCTGTACCTTTCCAGAACAATTTCTTACATTATCTTTTCCCCACTCCCAATAGCCACTTCAAATCCTAGTTATTCTTCAAGACTCTGGTCAAGTTCCAGATCTCTCATTCCCTGAATGTCTATGGTACATCTTAATAATAATACACAATAGAGTACTTAGTTATAAACAAGTTCTTCATAGGACACTCTTTATCCATATATCACCAATTCTGTGGTAATAACTGGAAACTCTAATTTAAAAGTCTGTACCAATGAATTGATACGTATCTGTATGACTTTCTCATGGAGTGTGAAGTTGTCATCGAATTATCAAGTGGTCTTTTGAAGTAGATTTGAATGGAAAGTTTCCAAATGCCTCTACTTGCTACAGGGGAGTGAGACCATGGACAGAGAAAACATTACACACCCTCGAATAACTCCTTTAAGACTTCAAAGGTGCAAACTACCTTTAAAAACTCTTTTTTTTTTTTTTTTTGGGGAGTAAGATCAGCCCTGAGCTAACATTCAATGCCAATCCTCCTCTTTTCTGCTGAGGAAGATTGGGCCTGGGCTAACATCCATGCCCATCTTCCCATTTTCCTCTACTTTATATGGGATGCCGCCACAGCATGGCTTGGCAAGCGGTACATCAGTGCGCGCCTGGGATCCAAACCTGCAAACGCCGAGCCGCTGAAGTGGAGCGCGCACACTTAACCGCTGCACCACCAGGCCGGCCCCTAAAAACTCTTGTATGTTGAATTATAATGATGTATACCTGAAACTCATATAACGTCATACACCAATTTTACCTCAATGAAAAATAAAAAAACTCTTGTAAATTATATGAAGGCAAATAAAATTATTATTAACTAAATCACTAATTAATATGTATTACTGCTTTCATTTATCTGAAGTCATAAGGATTATTTACTATTTTAGTTTTTCTGGAAATCTAGGAATTTTCTTAACCTTGGTTCTCAAAGTATCAACATCGGGAGCAGCAGCAGGGAACTTACTAGAAATGCAATTCCTCGGGCCCCACTCCACACCAACGGAATCAGAAACTCTTGCCGGTAGGGCCCAGCAATCCTTTTAACAAGCCCTCCAGGTGATTTTGATGCACTCTACAATTTGAGAACCCCAGTCTTAACCTAAAGCAAGTCGTCTCTCAAGACTATGTCACTTACAACTATCTATTGGGGCTTTGGGGAAAAAAAAAGGAGGAGGATTGCAATAGATGTTAGCTCAGAGCCGTTCTTCCTCAGCAAAAGAGGAGAATTGTCATGGATGTTAGCTTAGGGCTGAAATTCCTCACCAAAAAAAAAAAAAAAACAAAACAGACCATGTCACTGAACCTAATGGGCGATTCAAAATTCTATAATATATTAAGTTATGCTATTCTAAACAACTGTTTGGCACAATAAAGTAAACGTCTTTAAGAAGTAATGTTCAAATCATTGAAAACCTGGTTTGCTTTACCTTAAATTCAACTTAAAAGTTATCTTTTATTTTACAAATTCACATAATTAGTACTAAAATGTTTGTCTTACCACAATAAATTTAATCCCTGATCCCAATTCAGTGTTACTATTTGAGTAGTGAAGTTCAAATATCTGTGTAAAACACGTTCAAGCATATCCTTTGGAAAACTAAACACTCAACTTGCTTGTTCTCTGTGCTGCCCTCTGCTGATTCATATGGCAAACTTCATGTATTTACAGCACTACTCAGTAGTCCCAAGGAGGATAATCATTTAAGCAAATTATTTATTCCACATGAATAAACTATGGCTCAGCTGTAAGAAGAAATTGAGCGAACCTCTGAAAAGTTAATTCTGATTATCATTAGATTGAAACTGACCTGCAACTCCTACTTGATGTGTAGCATATCCTGGTAATCTGCTGGGCCCCTCTCCCAGCCACAGCGTCAGCGTGGATGCGTCCGATTCTGCGTGGTGAAAGCGGAAGCCCAGGGAAGCGGCAGGGGCAATAAATCGGCTTTGGAGGATGGGAATGTGCAGCCATACCGCTATTCTACCTTCTGATCTCCACTGCTGTATTGCAGCTAAAGGGCAGAAGAAGATAAAAATCTGTAAATATTTTCCAGTGAGAGGAGTGGAATAAGTTAAAACTCATCTCAAGATGTCACCTCCTCTAGGAAGCCATTTTTAAGCATCCACTTCCATTACTAGTTAGCTATCTTGGGGTCAGGGGATCCCAGAATGTTCTGTTCACATCAGCAGCACGGGAACTACTATGTTTTATTACAATTACCACCTTGTCTATATGATTTTTCCATCAGACTGAATGCCTTGAGAATAGTCAGTATATTCATATCACCTGACACAATGCTTGGCATATAACTGGTGCTCAATAGTTGTGAAATGAACAAATAAACTGATTTAAACAAAACACCATTTTAATGTTGTTCCTTTTAACATCCTTAGTTTTAATCCTTATAAATAACTATTACGGGCTTCTATTTACTCTTCTTTGAAGAGTTCTGTCATAACTTTTTTTTGGTTTATAAAGTTCAAGGTGGTTAAAAATATAACTTTGTTTTTAAATAATGTATGCTAGTTCTAGAAAATTCTGAAAATAAAGTATAATGAAGAAATCAAAACTTCACATTTTACTAGCATGTATTTAAAATAAAATTTTAAATTTTGACATTTTTCCATGAATATAATTTTGGAACTGACATCATACCATATATTATTTACAGCATGTCTTTTACTACATATTATATTGCTATGTTATTAAAATTATTTTAATGAATGTAAATTTTTTATAATTTTATTTATTTATTTATTTATTTCCCCAAAGCCCCCATAGATAGTTGTATGTCATAGCTGCACATCCTTCTAGTTGCTGTACGTGGGACTCGGCCTCAGCACGGCCGGAGAAGCGGTGCGTCCATGCACGCCCCGGATCCGAACCCGGGCCGCCAGCAGCGGAGTGTGCGCACTTAACCGCTAAGCCACAGGGCCGGCCCTGTGAATGTAAATTTTTAATGACTGCATGATTTTCCACATATAGGTATACCATAAGCTACTTAACTTTCTACCCTTGGACATTTAGATTGTTTCTAAATTTTCCTTATTATAAATAATACCCTAATGAACATAAAGATAGATTTCTGTCTTTGACTTTTTAAATACTCTTACTTTATTACTTAAGACTGAGGAAAAAGATGCTAACATTTCTGCGGCTCTTACTGAGTTCCAGAAGCTTTACATACATTATCTCATTAAGTTCTCACAACCATGAAAGGCAGGTATTATCACCTCTAATTTATGGGTGAAGAAACAAATACTTCACAGTTTTAGAAAAAATTTTTAGATCTCTTTCTCCATCATCTCACTTAATCTTTACAATAATCCTGTAAAGTGTGTGTCTGTGTGTGTGTGGTGGGAAGGCTTGATTATTTATTTAACAGTTAAATTCCTTTTCCTTCTCTTCTCTTCCCCAGTTCTGCAGTAGGGCCTCCCTGTTAAGGACCATGTCTTCTACCTCTTTGAAAGTGGGTGTGCCTAACAGAGTGACAAACACACAGGAGTCTTTAGTAAAGACTTCTTGATTTGGGACTATGGGGTCAGATCCTTCTCACCTCACTCTTTCTCTGATTAAATCTTTTTAAAATTGACATACAATTACATAAAGTGAAATGCACAAATCTTAAGTGTATATTTGATGAATTTTGACATATGCATACACTTGTGTAACCCACATTCCAATCAAGATTATAAAACATTTCTATCAGCCCAGAGAGTTCCCATGTCTTCCTTTCCAGTCAATCATTCCAATCAAATGAAAAAGCTGAAATTCCAAAAGTACAGTGATTAGCTTCCTGTTTTTTATCTTTACACTCTCTGACTTGGAGACTCCAACTCCCACTGCTTCAGCTAAAATCTACACAAGGATGGTTGCCCAGTCCAACCTCACAGAACACTGCATTTTCTGCTCTCAGAAATTTTCTGAAGGTTGCCACTTCAAACTTCACACCATATGTTCAAAATTGACTCCTACACCATCCACCCTAAACTAGTTTCATTTACAGGCTTATTTTTGGCACCAATGCTTGAAAACTGAGAATCATTTCTTTAATTCCTTCCTTTCTCTTTTTCTCTAATAAACTTGAATGCTTTTTCTTCCTCCATTCCTCATCCCCACAGCTGATATCCATCCCTCAAAGTCAACTCATATACCACCTCTTTGACAAAAACCTTTCCTAACCACTGCTCATGTGCTCTCCATATGTGAACTTGAAGACTCACTATTTGTACAATTTACTAGAAGTTATTACATATTGCCCAATGATGTCTCTTCTGTTATTTTTCTAATCCTAATTAATATTTCATGCATTTGCAATCCTCCAGGTCAACAGAAGATTATGCACAGGGGCTCAATTCATATTTATTAAACAACTGGCTTGCCTAAAGTCACACAGCTAGTCAGTGGCATAGCAAGGACTAGAATCAGGGTTATTTCCCCAATGATGCAGATATATTACACGCAAAGCTGAGCATCATATTACCTGTTCATCCATCTAACTTTACAGTTATCAATAACAGAACAGGAACACTAACAGAACAGCCTTCAAGTGTAAATCTGCAAACAACTACTGCCAATACATTATACACAGTCAGTCCCATTTACTTGAAAAGAAAGAATAGATTTAGACTTCCTATCAGGCTTTCTTCTCAGATTATTTCAGTTTCTCTTTATAGGCAATACTATTCAGTTTTGTATGACTCAATAACAGCAGAATTAGCAGTGGCTCTCAGAGGCAGCATAGGGCAGTAAAAACAGATTCTCAAGCCAGGGGAAGTTGCTCAATCTCTGTGTCTCAGTACCATCATCTTTAAAATGGGGATAATAGTAGCACCTACCTCACAGGCTTGTTATTAAATGAATTAATATTTGTAAAGTTCTTAAAACAGTGTCTAGGATTTAGTGAGTGCAACAGAATTTGTGTTTTAAAAAAACAGAAAAAGCATTATGGTACTTAAGAGTTTATAAATTAGTTTCATATACTTTATCTTTGATTACACATCTATACAGTAATTAGGGCTGGGATTATTCATATAAACAACCTAAGAGGCAAATGTTTTCTGTCTTCAAATATTTGCCTAATGTCTGGCTAAGCACATGGCAGAACCTAGGACTTGAAACCTGGATGTGTGAGACTCCAAACCCAACCCCCTTTCTGCTTTCCCTTGCTGACTGAAGTGGTGCTTTCAATCACCTGTTTGGGCACCGACAAGTGACAAGTGTGTGCAATAAATACCTGTATCTACCCACACAAATGTATGCATATTAGAGGATGAACATTGATGGAGTCAGCAATTATTCACAAGCAGGAGAGAAAATGAGGTGAAGAGATAAGTAGTTCGGGAATGAGAATGATTAATGAAATAGCTAGTTGATTATATTTACACAGATGCTCACTTGCCATATGGCTCAATAGGATAAAGATTATTTGAAGTTTCCTAAGTGTGAGAGGATCTTTCCAGGGCTGAATGTCCACGCTATGGCTTCAGTTCGATTATAAGGACACTCAGGGGCAGTTTAAAAAACAGGCTGCAACGCCAAATCAAGGGCTTCTCTCAAAGTGAAGGCTCCTCCAGCCAAGCTTGCTTTCTCAACACTGGACTCCAGGTTCAAAGCGAGAGAAAGGAGTTTTCCTACTGAAGTCTGAAACCACCCGCCACCCTGCCTGGTTAATCATAAAGACTTGTTGATCTGTAAGTAGAAGCAAACTCTAGTTCTCGACGCCACAGTTCCTGACCCGATTCGTGTACAAATGTGACCACTCAGAACCTCTCTGGCCCACTCGTTGTCCAGCACCTGTATTAGAATGCGAGCGAGTTTTGTCTTGGGCTAAGCGCTCGTCAGAACCACGGCTCAGCAAACGATAGTAAATCATAATGCAATGATACTAATAGAGACTGAGCGTTAAATAGGTGGCAGACACCGTGCTGAGCACCTTATATGCATTATCCGACTTAACTCTCAGCCACCCTTTGCGCTCCCATCGCCCCGTTTGATGGATGAGGAAAAGGTGGCTGACAGAACCTGCAGAAGGTCACAAACTAGAAAGTGGACCAGAAGCTAGGGCTGCCAATCCCGAAGTCGGGGGTCGTCACCATTTCAGCCCAACCGCTTCAGAGACCTCCCAGCAAAGGGCACAGGAGCGAAAGGGAGAGAACGGGGCGGGGGGCGGGGGGTCCCGCGTGCCGTCTCCCCTTCCCTCTGGGCTCGTACTTGCCCCGGGGGTCCCTGCATGACAAAGGGTCGGGCGCCGCGGAGCCCCTCGGCCCAGGCACACTTGCCCTGCAAGCCCCTCTGGAAGGCGGCAGCGTCCAGGCGGTCCAGCGCGCCGATCCGCGCCAGGCGCATCGAGACGCCCCCGAATCTGTCCAGCTCTCCCCGCAACTCGCCCACTGCGGCGGGGAGGTCCTGCGCGCAACCCGGGCCGCCTGAGGCCCTGCGGGACCCTGAGGCGAGACTTGCGCGGCGGGCCCGGGCCAGCACCGCGCGCCAGCAGCTCCCACTCGCCAGCGGCAGCATCTCGTCGCCGGCCCTCGATGCCCCACTTGCTCGGCCCCCAAATCTCCCGTCCTCGGCGCACCCAAGCGCAGGTCACTACCGTAAATTTTAGAAGAGCGCCACCCCACCCAGTCTCAGGCTTGGGTTAGGGTTACCACTTCGCAGCGCGATAGCGAGGAGACAGCGAAGTCCTGTCCACCAGTTCCTCTCAGGAATTTGCTCGGCTCCAGGAAAGCGGGAGGAAACTTTCCCACCACTTTCCCCCCCTAGTTTATTCAACAGACGTTTGTTTAAAGATGGGGAAGTCAGACGGAGACACGAAAAAGTCCTTTCAGGAATTTACAATCTAACTGACGGTTCTGTCCACCTAACCTGTCTTCCTTTGCAGAAGTCAGAGCCTCTTCAACCTCTTCAAAGACCGCGGGTTCTCAAGACGCAGGGTTCCCCCTCTCCTACTGCGCTCCACGCGGGGGATTACGGCTCCGGGCGGAGCCTCACTGACTTCTGCCCCGGAAGTTCTTCCTCACAGTAAAGCGCGCACGTTGAGCCGGCTTTGCCGCTGCTTCTCTCTGGCAACCTTCTGACCATGTCTTCCAAGAAGAATAGAAAGCGGCTGAACCGAAGCGGAGAGAATGGTTCGCTCTCGCCCTCCGCTGCTCCCGCTGCTGCGGGGGCCTCGGCTCCTTCTGCTGGGCCAGGCATCACGGCGGTGGCCGGGACTCTGGTGGTGACCAACTTCTTAGAAAAGGGTAAAGAGTTCTGAGAGGAAGACTGGAGGCCAAGGGGGGGCGCCACCTGAGAGGACGAAGGCCTAGCGAAGCCGCTTTTAGGTGCAGGGGCTTTTGAAAGTTGGGCGAGGCACAGGTGTGAGAGCGGCCGTAGGACCCCCCCTCGGCCGCGTCTGCGCTGGAGAAGTTAGGCAGAAAAGGCTTATCCGTGGCTAAGTCAAGCCGTCTCTTTTGTGAATTGTTTTGAATTTCTGACTTGCTCCTGAAACAACTTTGCCTCCTTTAAGATTAACGACATATTTAACTGCAAAATTGCTCCTATCTAGCGAGCATAGGGTACATGGATGCATATACTAAAGAAATTAAATACCCATTCAGTAAAGATGTGGATACATCCTTCCTAAGAGATATCTTTGTGCCTTTGAGAATGAAGGTGCCTTTTCCTTCAGTTACTACACAGGTTCTGGTAGTTAATAACAGCTGTTAATTGCACACTAGTGTTAGCAGTAGGTTGGGTATGGCACATACATATCTCATTCAGTCTTCACAGAAGCCCTGGGAGATGGGTACTGTGTTATGCCCATTTTACAGAGGAAGAAAACGTGATTTGCTCCAGGTTACACAGGTACTAAGTGGCAGAGGCGATATTTGAGTCCAGATGTGTTTGACTCTAAAGCCATTATCCTAGATCACAATACCCTTGACTTGGGAGAACGGATTTATCTGAAAAGTCATTTAGTCAGTAAAGCTTCTGTGTTCAAACTGTATATTATGGCTTTGAAAAATGGATCACATTAAACTAGTGTTAAGATTTTTATTTATGTTTAATGCAAACTCTAAAGACGATCTTAGAGTTAACATAGTGTTTTAGTATTCCTTGGGAGTCAGAGGACAGCTTATGTCCTGCATATTCAAGTCTCTTTTTCAACTAGATCCTTCCCATTGACATTTAAACCTGCTTTCTCATCCATCTTAAATCAAAACAAAAGCTCCACATTTTCTTCTTACCACCACCCTCTCTCTCTCCCTTCTTCATTGCCAAATTTCTTAAATGGAGCCATCTCTGCCTCCTCATCTTTCACGTACTCCTTAGCCTATTCCTCTTTGACATCCATCCCATCATTCCGTGGAAACTATCCCTGCCGCGGTCACGGATCATCTCCATGTTGATAAATCCAGTGGACAGTTTCTCATGGCTTTCCTTACTTGACCTCCAGCAACTTTTGGCATTGTCCACCATTTCCTCCTCGAACACTTTACTTCTTGACTTTTGTGTCATTAAACTTCCATAGTTTTTCTCCATCCTTGGGTTGGTTACTTGATCAGTTTCCTTTGCAGGCTCATGCTCTTCCACTTGATGGTCAAATGTTGAAGTTCCTCAATTCTTAGCCTTAAAATCTTCTTTTTCTCTCTGTAAATCTTCTTTCTTTGGCAAGTTCACCCAATGCCCAGAGTTTGCATCTACATCCTCATTATTTTCAGATTTATATTTGTAATTTATACTATTTCTGAGTCTTGATTCAGTTGTTTTCTAGACCAGTGCTTCTCAAACTCTGTAGGGAAGGTTTTTAAATTTATGATATGTCAGAGGTCAGCACTGTTGTAAAATACAATAAAAATAAATTACTAGAAAAATAAGTTAAAAAATAGAAATTTTTATTAGATTCAACAGATGTAAAATTACTCTATCAAATTGCAATAAAAGCTTCTAAACACTTATTCTCATTTTCTGTACTCATCTTGTCACGAGTAACAAATAGTTGTGAATAGCAGTGTGCTATACCTCTTTTCTTGGCTTTTTCAAAGGTATTTCAAGACTAGCCTCATGAACTCATATTTCCTCCAACAAAACAAACTCTAGCCCTGTTCAGTTTTTCACATTGCAAAATTCAGAAACCTAGGAGTCATCCATGATATCTTTCTCTCTTACATCTCACATATTCAGTCCACCACCAAGTCCTGTCTGTCACCTAAATAGTTTCCACATTCCTCCTCTTCATTCCGTTCCCACTACTTCCACCATCGTCTCTCACCTGCACTACTACACTAGTCTCTCCCTTCCAATTCCTTTTCCACTCTGCAGCCAGAATGATCTTTCAAAATAAAGATCTTGCCACTACCCTGCTTTTCACCCCTAACTGGCCTCCAATTGCTGTCAGAATAAAAACCAGCAGCTTGATAAAAGCCTACTGCCCTGGCTGGTCTTCACCTTCTTTATGTGACCCCTGGTTATCTCCCACCATTCTACCTGTGCTCTTTCCCTCAGAGACACAATGCTCCTTTCTGTCCAAGACCTCTATACATTACTGTTCTCTTTGCTGAGAATTATCTTTTTTTTCTCTCTTCATTTAGTTAATTCCTACTCTTCCTTCAGATCTGAATTTAAATATTACTGCCTTGGAGAAGCATTCTCTGATACTTGAAAATTAGGTGGGATCCCATGTTATAGGCTCTTCCAGAACTCTTAGTCGTTCTTTCATTGCATTGATCTTAGTTTATAATTATACAATTATTCAGTGATTGTTTAATAACTCTCTCATTCTATTAGATTGTAAGCTCTATGAGGCCAGGGACTGTGTCTGCCTTTTTCACCTTGTATCCCTAGTGCTTAGCATAGTGTATGCCATATAGTAAGCACATAGTAAATATTTGCTGAATAAATAAATGAAGGGTAGATAGTTTGAAGTTACCATTATTATCTCGTTAGGTTTCTGGCACATAAGGTGCTCAATAAATGTAAAATTAGTTAATGGGGAAAGTGGATGTCAAGATATATTTTTAAAGTATTAGAGGAATGAAGACTAGTGAAGGGAACTGTGTGGAGGACAGTTTGAGTAGATGTGGATGCTGTAAGCAGAGAATACAGTGGAGATGGATTGGGAAATAAGGCCAGTGGATGGGAATTTGAACATGATCTCCGTTGGTGATAGACCTAATGCTCATGAGAACGTTGAATTTCTTTTTAGCCTTTCATATTACGAAATCAGTTTATTTCATTTTTCACTCAGTACTGTTACTCTTAACTCTGTGAGATGTTTTGTTTTTCTAAGTTTGTTCATCTGATGACAGAATAAAAATAAATGTGTTGTAAAATTACTTTGTAGTGGTAGAGAATAATGTAAATCAGACATAACTCTTGGTTTTGCTTTCATTAATTTAATTCCTTTTTAATTACAAAAGCTGTTTTTCTGATTTTTAAGGAACACTAATATTAGAGCTCTGATTATGGTATATGTGTCTATAATAATTTTTTTATAATAAGTTTTATAACAAAGTTTGTGGCAGGTTAAAACTTCATAAGTGTTTCATAGATTTTGTGCTGAAAAGAATAATATTGTGTACTCATCTACTACATTCACTCATTTCACAGATATTTTTTATTCAACTGCCTCATTTGATGCACTACTAGGCATTGGAGACACAAAGATAAATATGACCAAATTACTGCCCCAAAGCAGCATATGGTTTAGGAGAGAGTCAGACTGTAAAATGAATGAATATTAGGATGATAAATGCTAGTATCTGGCAGCATAGGGTGCTGGGAGAACCAGAGGAGGGATATCTAACCAACTGTGGAGCTTGAGAGGGTGAGTGGGAAAGGGTGGAGA